TGTTGAAGAACTCTTGTCGCAGAGGATTATGTATCTGCTAATAAATGTCAACTACAAGCCTAGAATTCCTCTGGTAAACAGATGCGAGTGGAGTTGTCCCTTCTGCCAAAAGTGTCTTGGCTGGGCAGGTGCCGCCTTTGAGGCCTACCAAGAATTGGCGGCTTTTCTTTCCCAAATAAAGGGCCCACGCTTTAATTCCCTCACCCCTGAGATTACCACGGCCCCTGTTAAAAGTCCAGTAGAGCTTCCAGATAGCGGACAGCTGTGGTGTGTAGTGTTACTTGAAGTGATTTATAGGGCTTCTCCCTAAGAATAGCTTTTATGGTGCGATAAGTAGAACCTTAATAGCCCTTTGGCGTTGGAGGTAAACTTTCATTGTCGTTCTTCAGTGAGGACCATCAAGATTCCACTCATTCTAACCCTGGCAGTGTTGATAAGATGAAGACATACAGCCTCAATCCTCAGTCTATGCACACTCAGTGGAAACTTTCCGACATTACCAGAGCCTTTCAGTTTGAGCATGCGGGCCCAGCAACCTGATCTTAAATGCTTTTGCGGTTTTATTGTTGTTGTTTTTTCCTGGGATGGTACCAGCATAAATACGTAGGACCCTGATACCAGAATAAACCAGTTAGGGCACTCAAAGTTAAGCACATTTACATTGCCTTTAAATGTGGTTGTTAATGGTGTGCATGACATTTCCTGACCTGATAGCCCAGGGTAGACAGATCTTGTCAGGTCTCAGAAGCTAAGCAGGGTTGGCTGGGTGGATGGATGTAATCTTCTGCTCTCGCTTTTATTAGATCAGGTTCCAGCGTTTTAGGAGTATTTTAACTGAATGTTATTTTATGTTATGTTTGTCTATGGCCCCGTTCACACGAGGCGATTTGGCCCGGGAACGGGACAGTTTGGGGCCGGATCAAACCGGCGCGATCACACCACAACATCTGGGAAGCGTCTTGCTTCCGTGGCCGAACTGTCCCTTTCCCGGGAAAATGCGCCTCAAACTGAACCACCTACCTCGGTGGTTCAAATGGATGAGGCGCCTCTTCCCGGGCGTCTGATCGCCGGCGCGTCTTTGCGCCGGCACAACCCCGGCCCGGATCCGAACTGCGCATGCTCCGACATGCGCAGTTCGGCCGGCCCCCGGTTAGGGCCGTCTTTTCTCCCCGGCGTTTGATCGCGCCGGGGAGAAAAGGCGGCTCGGCCGGGGATCCGTGGGATCCCACCGAGCCGTGTCAACGTTGGCGCAGCTTTTAAAAGCCGCGCCTCAAGACGCTTTTCCCCTGCCGTGTGGCAGGGGCCATAGTCCACCTTTCTCATTGAGACTCAAGTCAGATTGTGTGTCTGTGCAATCAGTAGGATGAGGAAACATCTAATAAACAATGTAATAGGACCAAGGTTGTAGAAATCTGAAACAAGGCATACTATTAAGCATATGTTAAACAGTCCAAGAACCTACCTTGTATTAGATAAGCAGAAATGTAATGTAGTGAGCAATGTAAAACATACAGCAACAGATACTTCATATTAGTAGTGCAGTCAACAATTCTGTTCCTTTTATTGAAGCATCTTCCTGAATCATTCTGTTAGCAGCCGTATTTCCTTTATAAAATTGCATTTCTAAATAGTTCCAATTAAAACAGTTTGTAGAAAGCCAGAAGCATGGGGCCTTCTGACCTTCTCTGCCAGGTCCATTCCAGAGGGTGGAGGCCACTACAGAGAATGTACTTGTCTGGCCAGTTTAGATCTTGTCTATTTGCAGGGTGGCAGCTGTAGAAGGCCCTATTGTCATAGTGGGGCATAGGAGAGGCAGTCTTGCAGATATGAGGGTCCAAGGACATGAAGAGCTTTCTATTGAATTGAATCTGGTAATAAATGAGCAGACAAAGGATCAACTGCAGAATGGGTAAAATATGTATGCTCCGTCTAATTCCTTATAATAATAGAGCTGCAGCATTCTGTACTAACTGGAGTTTCTGAGTTGATTTTGAGGGAAGACCTATATGAGGTGAATTGTAGTAGTCTTGTCTCAGTGTGACCATAGCATGAATCCTGGTGGCCAGATCAGCTGAGTCAAGGCAAGGAGGTCATTTTCAAGGCTAAACTAAATTGAACTCCTTCTTACAGGGGCTACTGTAAGCTCTTGGAGGATTGGCTACATGAGGGGTGTGTCGCCTAATATGCAGAGGAGTTCCTGCTACAAAAAAGAGCCCTGTTTATAACCATTTCCTGTTCTTTGAAATGCTTAACCTTGTCTGGATTGGGTGGTTAATTTTTTTTGAGATGTTTTTTTACTTTGTTTATATCCCACCTTTCTCCACAATGGGGGACCCAAAGCAGCTTATCTCAGCCTCTTCTTCCTTTTATAGTCACAACAAACCTGTGAGGTAGGTTAGGCTGAGAGCGTGTGACTGGCCCAAGGTCACCCAGCAGGTTTCTATGGCGGACTGGGGATTTGAACCTGAGTTTCCTGGATCCTGGTCCAAGACTGTAACCACTACACCACACTGGCTTTCAGCACTTTTGCGCAGCACACTAACAGGGCAACCCAGAGAGCACTTTACTTGGAGCAAGCCCTGTTGAATATGCCTGGATAGAATTCTGAGTAGACCGGCTTAAGATAGGATTGCCGTCTTAAGGCAGTGTCTTTTTCTCAAAAATATGCTTCTGCTGGCAATGGTACATATGCTGACTTATTCAGTCTTCACATATGTATTCTCAACAAGGACTATACATCCTCTGTATTTTAGTGTATTTCTTTTTTCAGAACAGTATATTAGAATACTGGATGCAATGCAAGGAATATTGGGATGCTTTGCTGACATAACACTGCACCCACCTCAAAGAAGAGGAAAAAATGCTGTTAAGTGACCTCCACGCCTGAGACAAGGGAATAGAGAGCCTCAGGCCCCGGTCACACCGCAGGAAAAGCCGGGGCGGAAGTGCGGCTTTTTAGAGCCGCAGCAAAAGAGAAACGCGGCAGCGGGATCAGACATATCCCCCGAGCCACCGCACATATGCTCCCCAGCGTGATCAGATGCGAGGGGGAAGCCACGGACAGGAGAGCGAGGCGAGTCAGCTGCGCATGTGTGCGCCTTCGCAGTTCAGCAGAAGAGAGAGAATGGGGGGTAAAATAATTGCCTTGTCTGCATTCTTGCTAAGCCTGTCTCTAGAACAGGAGAGCAGGCAGTTCACATTGATGGGGTGAAGAAGTTGCATGGGAGCAGCAGCGGGTTGTAATCTGTCATCCCCTCTGTCTCCCTTTGCCTCAGTCGAATAGAAGTCTTAGGGCTTCCAGCAAGCATCAAGTTGTACTACAGAGAAGCGTCAAACTCTACTGAATATCTATTGTAACAAGGTGCAAGGTGCAAACTGCTTCCCGTGTTGGTTAAAATGACTTCTACTTAATGTATTTATTTATTGTCAATGCTAAATTAAAATTATTTATTTATTTATTTGATTTATGACCCACCCTCCCCCATGCAACAAGGCTCAGGGCGGGGTACAACATTTGCCATATACAAATTTAAATATGAAATCTAGTTAAACCAATTAAAGCACAAACAATTCAGCAAGAACTTGCAGGTGACGTATAGGTATACAGCTTAACATCCTTTCCTGGTGGGAAGAAGAAGAAGAAGAGATTGGATTTATACCCCGCCCTTCACTTGGAGTCTCAGAGCGGCTGACAAACTCCTTTCCCTTCCCCTCCCCACAACAGACACCCTGTGAGGTGGGTGGGGCTGAGAGAACTCTTGACATAAACCGCTCTTTTTCAAGGACAGCTCTGACAGAGCTTGTGACTGACCCAAGGTCACATCAGCAGGTGCAAGTGGAGGAGTGGGGAATCAAACCCGGTTCTCCCAGATTAGAGTCCGCGCACTTAACCACTACACCAAACTGGCTCTCCAAACCAGATCTCTTAAGAGAGGTGGTTTGATAGCAAGATGCAACATAACGTGTTTATGTTTTCAGGCATGCTTTGCCAAAGCGCATTTCTGTGGATTTTCAGTGTCGTCGCAGATGCTAACCCGTATCTTCTCTCTTGCATCGCAGTGTCGCCCATCCAGAGGCCGGAAAAGAGGCTACTGCTGGTGTGTGGATAAATACGGGCAACCTCTCCCTGCCTACGATGGAAAGGGGAAAGGAGATGTTCACTGCTACAATTTAGAAAGCAAATGAGGGACGTGCACAATCTCTTCCATGGAATCTGTGTGTGTCATCAGGAGGCCTTGGAGTGACTGGGATATAGCGTGGACTGTGTTGGACTCGGGCGTTCCAAGTCCTGCCCCCCTTGCTTATACCAGGGGAATCAACGACTCTGTGGACGCTGTAGCTGCATCCAGCCACTGTTACACTACCAGCTTTCTATCGATTCACCAGGGAGCTCTGAAATCCCCAATAAATCTGCACTATTGATCCCCAGAAAGAATAAGAGGAAAAAAAGGCACTTCAGAATGGATTCAGGGAGTCTCCACTGACTTGTTTTTGTTTTGTTTTGTTTTTGTTTTAAATAACGGCCTGTGACCAATTTGATCCCGAAAGATAACTGTGTTGTTGTTGTTGTTTTTTTTAAAAAAATTTATTTTAAAGAATTTATAGATCGTAAGCTTTGTTAAAGATATTAAAGACATCGGGTGTTAATCCAACCCAAACGAAGCATTTGTCAGTCCCGTAGATTTCAGCCAGAGAGTTGGGCACGGACGCTTTTCTCGCCCACTGAAATCAAAAGGAGATGCTTTGCTTGAATTGGATTGTGCCGAGGTTTTAAAGTGTTAAGCTTTTTTTTGTTTTGTTTTTATACAGGTCTGACGGGAAACTTATCTTCACGGGTAAAAAAAAATGTTTTATTACAAAAAGCTCAAAGAACTTTTTAAGAGAAACATGTTTCTACATGGCTATTTTTTTCCTGTAAAATATACTGTATTATGAATATTCTGTTAGTCTGTATTTAATATAATTGTTTTTTTTAATAAACTATTTAAATGTAACATATGAATACCTCATCTTATACAGTCATTATGTTTGGAATTCCCTTCCTCTGCTTGACTTAACAGAAGTCCAATGAGTTGCATCTACAAAAAGCAATGTAAGATTGAAGAAAGGGACCTCCACCCTTCATGAGGAGCAGTCTACATTTTACAAGTCCATCGTGGAAAAGCCAATCGGGAAAACAGTTTCCATCCACCGTATTCTCCAAACTGATATGGGCATTTCCCTGTAGCCACTCATTAACCAGTTTGGAGAGGGAGAAAAAGGGATTTTGATTATCTAGATTGTAGGTCCTAAACCTTTTAGAACCTGTGACACATTTGGGATTCTGAAACTACATAGTGGGCACAGCCTCAAAATGGCTGCCGTGGAAAGTTGAGGGAGCCACAAAATGGCTGCAGCAACTTCTCTCCAGTCACGTAGCAAATATCCTTGCACTATGGTGGTTGAGGTGATAGGCTTACCAAGTGCCGGCGGGGGATCCGCATGTCTTTACAGGATCCCTGCCGCGGGGACGGCGATACGCGTTGCACCGCTGTCGCCAGAATGTGACGCTACGCGTTGCTCTGGCAACGGGGCTGTTTGGAGTCCCGTTGCCAGAGCGATGCGTAACGTCACATCCTGGCGACGGCGGGTGCAACGCGTATCGCCGTCCCTACGGCAGGGATCCTGTAAAGACATGCGGATCCCCCGCCGGCACTTGGTAAGCCTATATTTGCCGTGGCATGCCTCTGTGCAGCAAGCTGGGACTTCCTTGGTGGTCTCCCATTCAGACAAAGCCCTTCACTCGGAGTCTCGGAGCGGCTTACAATCTCCTTCCCTTCCTCTCCCCACAACAGACACCTTGTGAGGTGGGTGGGGCTGAGAGAGCTCTTTCCAGAACAGCTCTGCAAGGACTGTGGCTTCGCTTCTGAGATCTGATGATATCAGGCTAGCCTGGGCCAACTGGGTCGGGGCGAGTCTTGATCCACCAGCATGTAAATGCTTAAGTGGGAGATCCATCTACTGCAGCAGCAAAATGCCGCAGACTTTTCATTGCCGGTGTTGCAAAGATAACTCCTCGGTGTCATAGTCAGATGACATGCCCACCAGCTTTTATGATGAAGGCGCCAGAAGATGCATCGCTTTATACAATGACAATTGGGTCTTTTATACGAAGAAAAAGGTTGATAGTCTGTTGGAGGCATCTTTTTGGATGGTCCCATCCAGCCATAGCAGTACAAAAGAAATAAATAAATGGGTATTTCACGGCCTCCGAGATCAATGGGTTTTACGTTCTCATCCGTACTGTACAGTGCGGATCACACCGAGAGCATGCCCATTGCGATACAGATCTTAAAATCGCCCAGAGTGTACTCAGATCTACAGCCTTGGGTCCCAATCCGGCACAGAAATCACGTGCAGAGCCCTGCTTCCGCGGGCAGATCTCTTGCTGGGTCAGAGGGAGGGGCTTCTAGTGTCCTGGCCCCACTGGTGGACCTCCTGATGGCACCTGGTATTTTTGGCCACTGTGTGACAGAGTGTTGGACTGGATGGGCCATTGGCCTGATCCAGCATTGGCTTCTCTTATGTTCTTATGTTCTGTTCAGAGCCTCTGTCTTCATTCCAGGCATCACTCGCACAAATAAATCGGCATCATCACACACCGAAGCCTCAAACGCTTGGCTTGTAAAAACAAGCCTGTTTCGATGTGCCGAGAATCTCCCAAAGCTTATTTGTTCAAGATATGGGGCATGCTCAGAAACTTTACTGTCCAGTGCATCAGATGAAAAGCGCATCGGCCCATGAGAGTTCATGCTGCGGTAAATGTACTGCCCTGACCTGGGCGGTCCAGGCTGGCCCAGTGTCCTCAGATCTTGGAAGCTAAGAAGAGAAAGTGATTGGGTTTATACCCCGCCCTTCACTGCGCGAAGGAGTCTCTGAGCGGCTTATAATCTCTGTCCCTTCCCTTCCCCTACCCACAACAGACACCCTGTGAGGTAGGTGGGGCTGAGAGAGCTCTTGAGAGAACAGCTCTAAGAGAACTTGTTACTGACCCAAAGTCACACCAGCAGCTGCATGTGTAGGAGTGGGGAATCTAACCCGGAGGGTTTGGCCCTGATTAGTACTCGGATGGTAAGTCCAGAGTTGCTATGCAGAGGCAGACAATGGCAAACCACCATTGGAAATCTCTTGCCTTGCAAACTTGGTAGGGCTGCTTTTAAGTTAGCTGCAACTTTTTTTTTTTAAGTCAGCTGCAACTTGTTGGCCCTTTCCACCACAAATGTGCCGCAAGATTCTCGGTTTATGTCGACGGGTGCAAGAGATCAGGTGAACCAGCACATTAGGAAATCCTCGTGTCCCCCAAAGCGGACTGTTCACGAGATGTGGTCTGGACGTTCCATACTTGGAATTTGATTCCCAGGCAAGCAGAGGTCTCATTTGGTTTGGGATCATGACGCATGGAATGGGGACGGCTTAAACTGCTCTCCCCATCAGTGTCCCCTCTAAGCTGTGGAGTCTTGTGAGCAAAAATTCTACTTTGTGGGCTACTGGCATTAAAGTTGTGAGCAAGCAATTTGACTACTGCATAAATTAGTGTTTTCTGGAGCCATCCTTCCTGAGCTAAGACAAAAATGTGTGAGCCAGCCAGAGGCTAAAAAACTGTGAGCTAGCTCACACTAACTCATCTTAGAGGGAACACCGCTCCCCATCCCATTTTCCAGCTTGAAATGGCTGAAGGAGCCTCCATCTGTCCCACTGGTGAAACGAACGTGCACCCCATCAGAACATACGGGTGTCCCCAACAAGACAAATAGCCTTTGGGAATGTTGAGAAAATGGCTTGGGGGGTCTGGAGGAGATTAACAGTACAATCCTACGCAGAGTTCCTCCAGTCTAAGCCCCTTTATTCCAATTGACTGGGCGGTGGTAAAAAGGTAAAGGTCTCCCTTGCTCGAAAGCCAGTCGAATCCGACTCTAGGGTTGCGGTGCTCATCTCCGTTTCAAAGCTGAAGAGCAAGCGCTGTCCGAAGACGTATCTGTGGTCATGTGGCCGGCATGGCTAAACTCCAAGGCGCACGGAACGCTGTTACCTTCCCACCGAAGTGGTACCTATTTATCTACTTGCAATTTCTTGCTTTCGAACGGCTAGGTTGGCAGGAGCCGGAACTAGAGACGGGCGCTCACTCCGTCATGCGGCACCTGGGTCTTGAACTGCTGAACTACCAACCTTCCACAGCCTGCAGTTCAGCGTCTTAACCCCTTGAGCCACCGCAGCTCCATTTCTGGGCGGTGGTAGCCACAGCCAATTTATGGCGACCCTGTAGGGTTTTCAAGGCAAGGAATGTTCAGAGGTGATTTGCCCTTGCCTGCCTTTGCATAGCAACACTGGACTTCCTTGGTGGTGGCCTCCCATCCAAATACTGACCAGGGCTGGTCCTGCTTAGCCTTCAAGACTTAACAAGAGAGCAGGCTAGTCTGGGCTATCTAGGTCAGGATACCTAATTGGTTTAGACTGGAGTAACTGCACACCACATCCACCTGGTAATAAACTCCCATGGAGCTCCCAGTCCATATTTTAGCCACATGACCTTGGTGACTTGTCAATCACTCCTTTAAAAGATTTGTAACCCTACGGTGGCTCAAGTGGTTAAGACGCTGAACTGCAGGCTGTGGAAGGTCAGTAGTTCAGCAGTTCAAGACCCGGGTGTGCCGCAAGACGGAGTGAGCTCCCGTCTCTAGTTCCAGCTCCTGCCAACCTAGCAGTCCGAAAGCAAGAAATTGCAAGTAGATAAATAGGTACCACTTTGGTGGGAAGGTAACAGCGTTCCGTGTGCCTTGGTGTTTAGTCATGCCGGCCACATGACCACGGAAACGTCTTCGGACAGCGCTGGCTCTTCGGCTTTGGAACGGAGATGAGCACCGCAACCCTATAGTCGGATTCTACTGGCTTTCGAGCAAGGGAACCTTTACCTTTACCTTTTAACCCTGCCCTAGATGACTGTCATGCAGATGTTTCACGGAAAGGGGCCGACGGGCGAGCGACAAACGTTTTGGACAAGACTCGGGGCTGCGAGAAGACCCCCTGCTCCTTGTGTCTCTCAGCCAGCCCTTGTACGTGACCTGCCGAAAATGTGAACGAGAGCATTCTCGAGAGAAGACGTGGGCTGTGCGAGCAATGCTCTGCCTTCTTTTTTCCCTAGGAAAAACATTATAAAAAAGCTTAACAGCCTGTGGCAATATTTCTGGTTGGCTTAGAAGTTATTTAAACTTTATGGAGAAGGACTAACCCTCGGGCAGCCATAAACATACGCCTATATATAGTTAGAATACAGTTTAAGAAAAATATATGTATTTAAATATATATGAAGGTCGATTTAAAAAAAAAATTATGGACCACAACTCCAGCTTGGTACTTTAAGGCCTCCCCCCCCCCAAATGGTCTCAAGAATGCTTAGTTTATGCCCTAGATGGTGGTAACGTCCTATGGTGCAGTTATAGACATAACCAATTGGCCCAAGGATTTACGGTACTTTGGTATCGAGTCACATGAGCCTAGTAGTTGCAAAAGCAATTTTTACAAGAACGCATAGATCATTTCCCCCCCGCCACCCCGAGATGTGTCAGCTGCAACTCATGATAGTTCCAGCACAGCCGCGGAAATAAAATAACAGTACAGGCAACCGTGAAAATTAAAATTGTATGTTTCAAAGAACACGACAGTGGGTGTGACCTGGATTTTGTTGACCAACATCGGACACAAGTTCGGGTGTTTGCTTTTTTGTGTGTGCATCGGCTGAAGTTTCTGAATCATGTTAAAAGGCAGCTCCATAGAAAGCACTTTTTTTTTTTTTGGCCTTCAAGTCGCAGCTGACTTGGTGACCCCCCTAGGGTTTTCAAGGCAAAAGGTGTTCTGTGTAG